GTTATTTGCTTTGACCACAATGTCACAACGCATGGACCTCCCTACACAAGAAGTCCTTTGTCGTCTAGCTGGTCCAATAACATTTGTTAGTTTGTAAATCGAGACCTTCGGAGCAACACGAAGAACCTTCTCCTGGTCTTCAGGTGTTTGTGGATAAACTCACCCCATCATGAGGAGGATTTGTTTTGTACGCAAGCTTGCTGGTCTAACACCCCCGGCAGTTTCTGTCCCTCGGACTCCTGAAGTGTGAATAAGACCCTTGTCTCTGGGCCTATGTACAACTTTCCTATAGTCCTCATGATTTACTTCCTACATCAAAATTAGAAATGATAAAATATAATTTTCCTATTCCAGAGAAATTAACAAGATCTAAATCTACTCCATCCGACACCACCCTCTCCACAGGTCCTCATCCATCTACTCCATCCGACACCACCCTCCCCACAGGTCCTCATCCATCTACTCCATCCGACACCACCCTCCCCACAGGTCCTCATCCATCTACTCATCCGACACCACCCTCCCCACAGGTCCTCATCCATCTACTCATCCGACACCACCCTCCCCACAGGTCCTCATCCATCTACTCATCCGACACCACCCTCCCCACAGGTCCTCATCCATCTACTCATCCGACACCACCCTCCCCACAGGTCCTCGTCCATCTACTCATCCGACACCACCCTCCCCACAGGTCCTCATCCATCTACTCATCCGACACCACCCTCCCCACAGGTCCTCATCCATCTACTCATCCGACACCACCCTCTCCACAGGTCCTCATCCATCTACTCATCCGACACCACCCTCTCCACAGGTCCTCATCCGTCTACTTCTCCATCCGACACCACCCTCTCCACAGGTCCTCATCCATCTACTCATCCGACACCACCCTCCCCACAGGTCCTCATCCATCTACTCATCCGACACCACCCTCCCCACAGGTCCTCATCCATCTACTCATCCGACACCACCCTCCCCACAGCTCCTCATCCATCTACTCATCCGACACCACCCTCCCCACAGGTCCTCATCCATCTACTCATCCGACACCACCCTCTCCACAGGTCCTCATCCATCTGCTCTCCAACACCATCCCAACACCACCCTCCCCACAGCTCCTCATCCATCTACTCATCCGACACCACCCTCCCCACAGGTCCTCATCATCTATCATCCTCACCCTCCCCCGACATCTACTCATCCGACACCACCCCCCACAGCTCCTCATCCATCTACTCATCCGACACCACCCTCTCCACAGGTCCTCATCCATCTACTCATCCGACACCACCCTCTCCACAGGTCCTCATCCATCTACTCATCCGACACCACCCTCTCCACAGGTCCTCATCCATCTACTCATCCGACACCACCCTCCCCACAGGTCCTCATCCATCTGCTCATCCGACACCACCCTCCCCACAGCTCCTCATCCATCTACTCATCCGACACCACCCTCTCCACAGGTCCTCATCCTTCTACTCATCCGCCACCACCCTCCCCACAGGTCCTCATCCATCTGCTCATCCGACACCACCCTCCCCACAGGTCCTCATCCGTCTACTACTCCATCCGACACCACCCTCCCCACAGGTCCTCATCCATCTACTCATCCGACACCACCCTGTCCACAGGTCCTCATCCTTCTACTCATCCGCCACCACCCTCCCCACAGGTCCTCATCCATCTGCTCATCCGACACCACCCTCCCCACAGGTCCTCATCCGTCTACTACTCCATCCGACACCACCCTTCCCACAGGTCCTCATCCATCTACTCATCCGACACCACCCTCCCCACAGGTCCTCATCCATCTACTCATCTGACACCACCCTCTTCACAGGTCCTCATCCGTCTACTACTCCATCCGACACCACCCTCCCCACAGGTCCTCATCCATCTACTCATCCGACACCACCCTCCCCACAGGTCCTCATCCGTCTACTACTCCATCCGACACCACCCTCTCCACAGGTCCTCATCCTTCTACTCATCCGACACCACCCTCCCCACAGGTCCTCATCCATCTGCTCATCCGACACCACCCTCCCCACAGCTCCTCATCCATCTACTCATCCAACACCACCCTCTCCACAGGTCCTCATCCATCTGCTCATCCGACACACCACCCTCTCCACAGGTCCTCATCCATCTACTCATCCGACACCACCCTCTCCACAGGTCCTCATTCATCTACTCATCCGACACCACCCTCCCCACAGGTCCTCATCCGTCTACTACTCCATCCGACACCACCCCTCTCCACAGGTCCTCATCCATCTACTCATCCGACACCACCCTCCCCACAGGTCCTCATCCATCTGCTCATCCGACACCACCCTCCCCACAGCTCCTCATCCATCTACTCATCCGACACCACCCTCTCCACAGGTCCTCATCCATCTACTCATCCGACACCACCCTCCCCACAGGTCCTCATCCATCTGCTCATCCGACACCACCCTCCCCACAGCTCCTCATCCATCTACTCATCCGACACCACCCTCTCCACAGGTCCTCATCCATCTACTCATCCGACACCACCCTCCCCACAGGTCCTCATCCATCTACTACTCCATCCGACACCACCCTCTCCACAGGTCCTCAACCATCTACTCATCCGACACACCACCCTCTCCACAGGTCCTCATCCGTCTACTACTCCATCCGACACCACCCTCTCCACAGGTCCTCATCCGTCTACTTCTCCATCCGACACCACCCTCTCCACAGGTCCTCATCCATCTACTCATCCGACACCACCCTCCCCACAGGTCCTCATCCATCTACTCATCCGACACCACCCTCCCCACAGGTCCTCATCCATCTACTCATCCGACACCACCCTCCCCACAGTTCCTCATCCGTCTACTACTCCATCCGACACCACCCTCTCCACAGGTCCTCATCCGTCTACTACTCCATCCGACACCACCCTCTCCACAGGTCCTCATCCGTCTACTACTCCATCCGACACCACCCTCTCCACAGGTCCTCATCCGTCTACTACTCCATCCGACACCACCCTCTCCACAGGTCCTCATCCGTCTACTACTCCATCCCGACACCACCCTCTCCACAGGTCCTCATCCGTCTACTACTCCATCTGACACCACCCTCTCCACAGCCTCATCCGTCTACTACTCCATCCGACACCACCCTCTCCACAGGTCCTCATCCGTCTACTACTCCATCCGACACCACTCTCTCCACAGGTCCTCATTCGTCTACTACTCCATCCACAGATCATCATCCATCTACTACTCCATCCGACACCACCCTCTCCACAGGTCCTCATCCGTCTACTACTCCATCCGACACCACTCTCTCCACAGGTCCTCATCCGTCTACTACTCCATCCGACACCCACCCTCTCCACAGGTCCTCATCCGTCTACTACTCCATCCGACACCACTCTCTCCACAGGTCCTCATCCGTCTACTACTCCATCCGACACCACCCTCTCCACAGGTCCTCATCCGTCTACTACTCCATCCGACACCACCCTCTCCACAGGTCCTCATCCATCTACTACTCCATCCGACACCACTCTCTCCACAGGTCCTCATTCGTCTACTACTCCATCCACAGATCATCATCCATCTACTACTCAATCCGACACCCCTCTCCACAGGTCCTCATTTGTCTACTACTCCATCCAACACCACCCTCTCCACAGGTCCTCATCCGTCTACTACTTCATCCTCAGGTCCTGATCCATCTACTACTCCATCCGACACCACCCTCTCCACAGGTCCTCATTCGTCTACTCCTCCATTCACAGGTCCTCATCCATCCACAGGTCTTCATCCATCTGCTCCTCCAGCCACAGGTCCTCATCCATCTGCTCCTCCAGCCACAGGTCCTCATCCATCTGCTCCTCCAGCCATAGGTCCTCATCCATCTGCTCCTCCAGCCATAGGTCCTCATCCATTTGCTCCTCCATCCGATACCACCCTCTCCACAGGTCCTCATTCGTCTACTAGTCCATCCACAGGTCCTCATCCATCTGCTCCTCCATCCGACACCACCCTCTCTACAGGTCTCTACTCCTCCATCCGACACCACCCTCTCTACAGGTCTCTACTCCTCCATCCGACACCACCCTCTCTACAGGTCTCTACTCCTCCATCCGACACCACCCTCTCTACAGGTCTCTACTCCTCCATCCGACACCACCCTCTCCACAGGTCTCTACTCCTCCATCCGACACCACCCTCTCCACAGGTCTCTACTCCTCCATCCGACACCACCCTCTCCACAGGTCTCTACTCCTCCATCCGACACACCACCCTCTCCACATGTCCTCATCCATCTACTACTCCATCCAGCACCACCCTCTCCACAGGTCCTCCTCCATCTACTATGCCATCCTCAGGTCCTAATCCATCTACTTCTCCATCCGACACCACCCTCTCCACAGGTCCTCATCCATCCACAGGTCCTCATCCATCTACTCCTCCAGCCACAGGTCCTCATCCATCTACTCCATCTGACACCACCCTCTCCACAGGTCCTCATCCATCTAATACTCCATCCACAGGTCTTGTCTCAAAGCTTTAGGTGTATTTGAAGGCAGAGGAGAGAAATTACATTCCTTCTTTCTTAGAAATTGTGGGTGCAGTTGGTTGATGTTCTTTTATGTTCAGAGCCGTGCCTTGGCAGCTGTCTCACTCCTGCAGTAGAAGTGGTTTGTATTCTAGTCTCAGAATATTTCCTGCTGTCTTCTGTGGCAGTTGATGTCAGTCTGGGTTGTATAGTGTTGGGTGGCAGTTGATGGCGGTCTGGGTTGTATAGTGTTGGGTGGCAGTTGATGGCGGTCTGGGTTGTATAGTGTTGGGTGGCAGTTGATGGCGGTCTGGGTTGTATAGTGTTGGGTGGCAGTTGATGGCGGTCTGGGTTGTATAGTGTTGGGTGGCAGTTGATGGCGGTCTGGGTTGCATGCTGTCATTTATTGTATGTTTCATTGTCAGGTGTCACTCAGTCTGGATGGTGGAATGAATCGAGTGGTCAGTTCTGGCAGTACAAGTCCTCAGCGGAGGCGTCTGGTGTTGGGGATTCTCCTCCTCCTCCTGGTGGACATCATCTGGGTGGCTTCATCAGAACTGACCTCGGTGAGTGGATTGGAATTGGACAACTTATCTGGCCTATACCCGGCCACCATACCTGGCTGACCACCATACTCAGGTTATACTCCGCCTAAACCTGGCTACCATACCCGACCATCCACCGCACCCAGCCTATACCCAGGGTAAACCTGCTCACCACACCCAGCCTATACTCAGCCATCAACTACCCACCACACCTGGCCTGAACCTACCCACCACACCTGGCCTGAACCTACCCACCACACCTGGCCTGAACCTACCCACCACACCTGGCCTGAACCTACCCACCACACCTGGCCTGAACCTACCCACCACACCTGGCCTAAAACCTACTCACCACACCTGGCCTAAACCTGTTCACCACACCCAGCCTATACTCAGCCATCAACTACCCACCACACCTGGCCTAAACCTGCTCACCACACCCAGCCTATACTCAGCCATCAACTACCCACCACACCTGGCCTGAACCTACCCACCACACCTGGCCTGAACCTACCCACCACGCCTGGCCTAAACCTACCCACCACACCTGGCCTGAACCTACCCCACCACACCTGGCCTAAACCTACTCACCACACCTGGCCTAAACCTGCTCACCACACCCAGCCTATACTCAGCCATCAACTACCCACCACACCTGGCCTAAACCTGCTCACCACACCCAGCCTATACTCAGCCATCAACTACCCACCACACCTGGCCTAAACCTGCTCACCACACCCAGCCTATACTCAGCCATCAACTACCCACCACACCTGGCCTGAACCTACCCACCACACCTGGCCTGAACCTACCCACCACGCCTGGCCTAAACCTACTCCCCACACCCAACCTATATTCAGCCAGCTACTACCCACCACACCTGGCCTTTACCTGGCCTAAGCCTACCCACCACGCCTGGCCTAAGCCTACCCACCACGCCTGGCCTAAGCCTACCCACCATGCCTGGCCTTTACCTGGCCAGCCACCATACTCATGCTATACTCAACTACCCAGCATGCCTGGCCTATACCTGACCAGCCTCCATTCCCATCTTAACCTGGCTACTATACCCGACCAGCCACCTCACCCAGCCTATACCCGGGGTAAACCTGCCCACCATACTCCGCCTATACCTGGCCTAATCCTGCCCTCCACACATGGCCTGTACCTGGGAAGGGGTCCTGTTGGCTGGTCAGGGCAGGCTTTAGGTGAACCCTGTGTACACTGAGATGTTCTCACTCTCTCTCTCTCTCTGTCTTTCAGTACATATTTCAGGAGTTCAATAAACCATTTTTCAGCACCTTTGCGAAGACCTCCATGTTTGTTTTGTATCTTCTCGGTTTTATTGTGTGGCGTCCATGGAGACAGCAATGTACGAAGCGTGTGAGGGGGAAACGCACAACATTGGTGAGTGTGATATGTATAGACTGGGACCCCTCCCCCCCGTCACTATGTACGAATACAGACCGCAGATGGAGGGATCATCGTGTACACCAGACTCCTAGTGTAAACTCAGAATAGACGGGGTGTATGATGTCTATAGACTGGGGGACCCCTCCCCCCCGTCACTATGTACGAATACAGACTGCAGATGGAGGGACCATCGTGTACACCAGACTCCGTGTGAACTCAGAATAGACGGGGTGTATGATGTCTATAGACCCCCACCCCCATCACTATGTACGAATACAGACTGTAGAAGGCGATATTACAACATGCAATTTCTAGGTGGTACAATGATGTCCCGTAGGACCCTCAGGTGATGGCGTCCTTTAGGACCGGCGGGCGATGGCGTCCCGTAGGACTGGCGGGCGATGGCGTCCCGTAGGACTGGCGGGCGATGGCGTCCCGTAGGGCGGGCGATGGCATCTCGTAGGGCGGGCGATGGCGTCCCGTAGGACCCTTGGGCGATGGCGTCCCGTAGGACCCTTGGGCGATGGCGTCTCGTAGGACCGGCGGGCGATGGCGTCCCGTAGGACCCTCGGGCGATGGCGTCCCGTAGGACCGGCGGTCGATGGCGTCCCGTAGGACCCTCCGGGCGATGGCGTCTCGTAGGGCGGGTGATGGCGTCCCGTAGGACCCTCGGGCGATGGCGTCCCGTAGGACCCTCAGGCGATGGCGTCCCGTAGGACCGGCGGGCGATGGCGTCCCGTAGGACCCTCGGGCGATGGCGTCCCGTAGGACCGGCGGGCGATGGCGTCCCGTAGGACCCTCGGGCGATGGTGTCTCGTAGGGCGGGCGATGGCGTCCCGTAGGACCGGCGGGCGATGGCGTCTCGTAGGGCGGGCGATGGCCTCCCGTAGGACCGGCGGGCGATGGCGTCCCGTAGGACCCTCGGGCGATGGCGTCCCGTAGGACCCTCGGGCGATGGCGTCCCGTAGGACCCTCGGGCGATGGCGTCCCGTAGGACCCTCGGGCGATGGCGTCCCGTAGGACCGGCGGTCGATGGCGTCCTGTAGGACCCTCGGGCGATGGCGTCTCGTAGGGCGGGTGATGGCGTCCCGTAGGACCCTCGGGCGATGGCGTCTCGTAGGGCGGGTGATGGCCTCCCGTAGGACCGGCGGGCGATGGCGTCTCGTAGGGCGGGCGATGGCGTCTCGTAGGACCGGCGGGCGATGGCGTCTCATAGGGCGGGCGATGGCCTCCCGTAGGACCGGCGGGCGATGGCGTCTCGTAGGGCGGGCGATGGCCTCCCGTAGGACCGGCGGGCGATGGCGTCTCGTAGGGCGGGCGATGGCGTCTCGTAGGGCGGGCGATGGCCTCCCGTAGGGCGGGCGATGGCGTCTCGTAGGGCGGGCGATGGCCTCCCGTAGGGCGGGCGATGAGGTCACATAGAACCATCGGGTGATGATGTCATTTCTGTTATTTCCTCCTCAGTTTGCGGATGCTGAAAGCTATTTTGCTGCGTGTGCGTCGGAGAGCGCGGCGAGTCACACCCTGGTAAGTGCCACTTGTCTGTTCTCATTCGCAGGTTGTCACCAGAGGGCGCTCTGCTCCTCATACTGTATATTTGGGGGTCTCCTTATTCCCGCGCTCGCCCTCCTCTGTATGGGACAGCAAAGTATCTGATGACAATGACGCCCCATCTCTTCTGTTAGTGATCAGAGCGAAGAGCCGAGAGATCTGACCAACCCCGCCGTGTGTGTGGTGTCAGGTGTGCCGACCCTACGTCAGTCCTGTATATACAGAGCAAGGAATCCTCACCCCTATAGACAGAACAGATATAGAGAGAGGCCACACCCCCTATAGACAGAACAGATATAGAGAGAGGCCACACCCCCTATAGACAGAACAGATATAGAGAGAGGCCACACCCCCTATAGACAGAACAGATATAGACAACATAAAAACAACATGTTGCGCTCCTTCGTTGAATATTAAATCAATACAAAGTTCCAATAAATATATAAAAAAATCAATATTAACAAACTTGTGAAAAACAGAAAATCAGGTGAAATCAAAATGTCATCCCGCGCTCAGCATACAGAAATATATAAAAATGAATCCGTCTTCAATGACAAATATATGTGACTTTTCCCAGTGATCAGTAATTCCAGGTGACTTCCTTAGTGAGTATAAGATGTGCGCTCCCCTCCAGATTGGCCTGTAACAGGCGGATGACGCTTTGTCCACTCAATGGGACTGATGTTTGTTGCACCATATGAAGAGTGGTGGGTCCCTCTCAGGCTGCTTCCCGTCTCCTATTCCTGCTGGGATCTCCCTCTTATCTCCTGCTTTCCTTTCCTTGGCAGGAGCCCTCAGTGGAGAGAAATCTGCCACAAATAGTGCTTTATTAAGGTACCAGTTGCACTCACATTTAAATAGGGTAAAAACCGCTTTTATATCACCAACAATACATCAGCAGCATGCCTTGTGTAGACCTGTCGTCCTCGAATGGCCAGTGACGTCGTAGCCCCTCCTCCTACGCGTTACACCGCTGGTCACGCGGCTTCATCAGGGGGTTGTGATCCTGTAATAGCAGTTGGCTCGCAAGTTACATCTTTGTTTTTATTAGAACATATATAGAGGCCACGCCCCCTATAGACAGAACATATAGAGAGAGGCCACGCCCCCTATAGACAGAACATATAGAGAGGCCACGCCCCCTATAGACTGACCATATGTAGAGGCCACGCCCCCTATAGACTGACCGTATGTAGAGGCCACACCCCCTATAGACTGACCATATGTAGAGGCCACACACCCTATAGACAGAACCTGGATAGATCCAAACGTATCATTATATACATCCCATTATACATTGTATCATTATATACATCCCATTATACATTGTATCATTATATACATCCCATTATACATTGTATCATTATATACATCCCATTATACATTGTATCATTATATACATCCCATTATACATTGTATCATTATATACATTCTATTATACATTGTATCATTATATACATTCTATTATACATTGTATCATTATATACATCCCATTATACATTGTATCATTATATACATCCCATTATACATTGTATCATTATATACATTCCATTATACATTGTATCATTATACAGCATATATATTATACATTGTATCATTATATACATCCCGTTATACATTGTATCATTATATACATCCTGTTATACATTGTATCGATATATACATTCTATTATACATTGTATCGTTATATACATCCTATTATACATTGTATCGTTATATACAGTCTATTATACATTATATACATCCTATTATACATTGTATCATTATATACACATCCTATTATACATTGTATCATTATATACATCCCATTATACATTGTATCATTATATACATCCCATTATACATTGTATCATTATATACATCCCATTATACATTGTATCATTATATACATTCTATTATACATTGTATCATTATACACATTCTATTATACATTGTATCATTATATACATTCTATTATACATTGTATCATTATATACATCCTATTATACATTGTATCATTATATACATTTCATTATACATTGTATCATTATATACATCCCATTATACATTGTATCATTACATACATCCCATTATACTTGTATCATTATATACATCCCATTATACATTGTATCATTATATACATTCTATTATACATTGTATCATTATATACATTCCATTATACATTGTATCATTATATACATCCTATTCTACATTGTATCATTATATACATCCTATTCTACATTGTATCATTATATACATTCTATTCTACATTGTATCATTATATACATCCTATTCTACATTGTATCATTATATACATCCTATTCTACATTGTATCATTATATACATTCTATTATACATTGTATCATTATATACATCCTATTCTACATTGTATCTCTCTAACTCCTACAATAGAGAGAAAATAAATGTTTGTAAAAAAAAATAATAATAAAGAAATATTAACAAATGCCCACATCAAGGGTTGATCTAGTTGAGTGCCAGGGTTAGTGTTTGGGTCAGGATCAGAGGTCAAGCTCAAAAGGTCAGGGTCAAAGGTCAGGATTTAAAAAAATAATAATTTGGTATCGGTGTCAATGTCAGTGTGTTTTTAGGTAAAAAAAGACAAAAACAAAATGTACACTATTGTTTCTGGGCTGTATTACAGGTACAAATAACATACACATGTATGATATCGCTGCGATCGTCACGAGCTGGAGAATGTATTTTGGGTTGTTCTTTGGTAGGTTATGATAGTAACAAGAAACACACAGCTGAATAAAAAAAAAATATTTTTTTTTTTACTATTTTGGGCCAGTTTTCCTTTGATGTCACAGATCCAACCCACATGCACACGCCCACAGCAACTAGCTAACCGAGGTGCGGCCGTAACTTGGGGTAAGAGGGAATGAGGGGGACTTAATCTGAATATATATAAGACCGGCCATGATATACTTTCACAGCCCGCATTACCACTGGCCACCACTAGAGAGAGACTCCAATCCAGCTGGCTGACCACACACTGGCAGATACAAATCTTATATACAATCTGGTGCACTGATTAGGGTTGAGGAGCAGCTTAGTAATCACACCCTTCTAGGATTCTTTCCAGCTATCCTCCAACTAGAACCCCGGTGTTATCACCCTTCCACTGTCCACACACCCCCACACCAGACACACCACAAACGGTAGCCTGCCACCACCCAACAGTTTATCCGCAGAACGGTCTGCTGGGACACCCCACACACACAGATCTCCGTCTGGCAGACCTGTTACCTTGCAATCTGCCCACACACAGTGCAATTGCATACAGATTGGCAATGAGCTGACCGAGCGTATAAAGGCACTAAAATACAATCCAATCTAATCTCTAAAATCTAATCTCTCCGGAGATATGAGCCCGAGCTTAAATACCCAGAAGTCACTTATTCATTTTATGATTTAATATCCCGAAAGTGGGTGGTGCATAAAATATGTACAAAGTATAAAAAGTTACAGAAAATACAAGAAGACACACAATTGGATATTGACTATAAAATAAAAAGGAATAAAAAACAGAAATAAAACTTTTACCGAGAGTTATCCTGCGACTGGAGCCAGTCAGAGAAAGTACGCGATCCGTCGGTCAATAGAACCGGATCCGTTCGAATCACACTGTCCATGTCGATTGGACCAGGAACTATTCGAATCACCAAGTCAGGGATTGAATTTCCGACACCAGCACATCAGTCCGATCGCGACAGTACCAATCACTGTTCAGCTGTTGCAATCAGGCGCCATATAACCGTTTTATGCGTTTCTCTGGGATTCTACGTGGGCTACAAATACAGTTTTACATGCAGATGTAGCCTACAGTGTGTCCAATCAGAAGGAAGTATTTTCATCTCTCTGCAACTAATATTTTAGCTTTTGAGAGATGAAATCTATTCCTTTGATCTGTGATATAAGTTATAGCTTGACAGACACATTGGAGCCACTCCTGGTCTCCTGCTGTTTTTCGAAGCAGAAACGTCTGGAGTTCCTCTTTTAAACTTCCAGAAGGTGACAAAGTCTGGCTACATAGGTGACAAGGTTCTGTTCTAGGTGTCACCTGCAGCCTAGAGGATGCTCTGTCCTTTCAGATGCTAATTGGTGACCATATGTCTCTGACTGAATCCTGAACCCATCCTATTAACATGGAATGAAGCTAAATCTACAATGTCATATTTCTACAGATCACATCTCAGCTACTCAAATCTTACATTTATGTCACAGATAATAAAAAAAAAAATTCAGGATACATACATTACCATTTGCCACCAAATGAAAGCCCAATCTGTCCTGAAAAAAGCAAGGTGTAATTCACCGGATGTACAAAGTAGTTGTAATGAGATGTACGGTTTTACTAACACGTGTCAACGTTGCAAAATTGTGCTTAGGCGTTTAGATTTGTTTTACCCCTTAGGCGTTAAGGGGTTAATATCCATGAAGGGAAGGGACAACTCCAACAAGCACCAAACCCTGACCTCGACCTTATCCAACACCTTTTGAGATGACCTTGGAACGCCGATGGTGATCTGGGTCTTCTAATCCAACATCAGTACCTGACCTCACAAATGGGACAAATTCCCACAACTAGCCCTACGTCCTCCTAGAAGAGTGGAGGATATTGTAGTCGCGAAACGGCAGCAAATCCATATTAATAGCCGTAACATTCTGTTCATAATGGTGTGATGGTCGGGGTGCACAAACCTTTGGTCACATGATGTACTGTGGATGTACGTGTGTGACTTTCTCCTTCACTGTCTATAGTGTAGAGTCCTAACATGGAGAGACCTAAAGAAGGCCCTGTAAGACACTGGACTGTCAGTTCTGGTGTATGGCGTCCAATGATGGCTCTCCATGGAAGACCTCTGTCCATACTCACCAGAGAATAATTTGTGTCTTTCCTTCCAGAGTGAGCCGCTTTATGTTCCCGTCAAGTTTCATGACCTGCAGAATGAGAAGGTGTCCGTGTCAAAAAGTGCGAGTGAGGAGAAAGGTAAGCCAGCCATGTCTGGTGTGTGCCGTGTATATGACCGATAAGATGAGGGACTATAGATTACAATTGTACTGGGACTGGGTGTCTGGTGTGTGCCGTGTATATGACCGATAAGATGAGGGACTATAGATTACAATTGTACTGGGACTGGGTGTCTGGTGTGTGCCGTGTATATGACCGATAAGATGAGGGACTATAGATTACAATTGTACTGGGACTGGGCGTGTCTGGTGTGTGCCGTGTATATGACCGATAAGATGAGGGACTATAGATTACAATTGTACTGGGACTGGGCGTGTCTGGTGTGTGCCGTGTATATGACCGATAAGATGAGGGACTATAGATTACAATTGTACTGGGACTGGGCGTGTCTGGTGTGTGCCGTGTATATGACCGATAAGATGAGGGACTATAGATTACAATTGTACTGGGACTGGGCGTGTCTGGTGTGTGCCGTGTATATGACCGATAAGATGAGGGACTATAGATTACAATTGTACTGGGACTGGGCGTGTCTGGTGTGTGCCGTGTATATGACCGATAAGATGAGGGACTATAGATTACAATTGTACTGGGACTGGGTGTCTGGTGTGTGCCGTGTATATGACCGATAAGATGAGGGACTATAGATTACAATTGTACTGGGACTGGGTGTCTGGTGTGTGCCGTGTATATGACCGATAAGATGAGGGACTATAGATTACAATTGTACTGGGACTTGGCGTGTCTGGTGTGTGCCGTGTATATGACCGATAAGATGAGGGACTATAGATTACAATTGTACTGGGACTGGGTGTCTGGTGTGTGCCGTGTATATGACCGATAAGATGAGGGACTATAGATTACAATTGTACTGGGACTTGGCGTGTCTGGTGTGTGCCGTGTATATGACTAATAAGATGAGGGATTATGGTTTACTGTCTGTACTGGGACTGGTAGCAGGACATACCAGAATGGCACTTGCCCATAAAATATCAGCCTTTTGCCTCCAGACGCATTTCCTGGCTACTTTGCCCGCATCCTCCACCAGTTGTGATTTTCTGAGTTCCAGATCACCAGCCAGTTAATTTTTCTTCAGCATACAAAAACACACAAACCATCTATAAACTCTTGATCAATGTCAAACTTTTGGCTTCAATAAAACATGTCCCTTTTCAGGTCTATCTTGTCCCCACCCACTGTGGGGGATGGGGGGTCCACAGAAATGGTCAGCACAGCCAGCAGATTTTCAGCATTGAACAGCATACGGTTTTTCCTTACAAGCCTGTCCTCTCCACCTCACCCTTCATGGACACCCGCTGGCTGCTTCCTGCCCTTCCCGGCCCTCTCACAGGAGGGTTAACCCCGTTCAGGGCCAGATTACCCGTAGTCAGGATTGGAGACTCTTTTCCACCCAGAATCTCTCCAAGCCTCTGCATCTCTGGGGCCAATAATAGGACTTACCAATCCTGGGCACACTAAATCAGTCGTTCCTTTCTCTCGTGTCATCCCGGACTTCAGCTGTCTCAGTCTGACCTCAGTCTCAGTCCCGTGAAAGAGTCCTGTGAAGACTGAGATTGAACCACTTTTGTTGTTTTCTTATTCCGGGTCACAATCCTGCGCAATGTCCTTTTTTGTCTTCTGGATACGCCGCCATAACCTTTCATACTGAACCTCACCACAAGGCAAATAAACTGGCAACTTCAGTCACAGAGGCACCAGCTTAGCAGCACCAGCAGTTTGCCGTCTTTGAAGCTCAGGAAGCTCTGCCATGACCCCGTATTAGCAGCGCTCGCAGTGAATGAGGAAAGTGAGGCTTCCCACATGTTAGCTAGGTGTCTCATCACACAGCGGAAGCCAAAGAGTGCTCCATCACTTCCGCTTTCAACACAAAACATTCCTCCCAGGAGGAATCTCGGGGTCCAGGGCTGCCTTAGACACAGAAGACCACATTGGACTTCCTGATGGCTCTGGTGCACACTAACCAATCCTACGTCACCGCTGCCTGAATCCTTTTCCCCCAAGGTCACTGGTTTTGGTCCTGGCAGCCGGCCAAAAATTCCCAAGTCTTTCCCAATGCATCCTCACTTACTGCATGCTGATTGGACCCATTAAAAGGTGTTCTCACCACTAAACCATTTTATTCTGCAGCACCCCATGAAGGAGGAATTCTACAAGAAATGGGATTCTCGGCAGCTGACCAGGCTATTTCCCAATTAAGTGGAACCCTGACAGCCCCAGTAGATGAGGTTCCAGTGTTCAAAGACACTACTGCTTAGAAGCTGGAGGCTGCTCTGCAGCATTTGGTGGTTGCAGTGGGAGTGTGCCAGTCCCTTTAAAGTAGAACTACAGGCAAAACTTTTCATTTTTGATATAGTAAAGGAGGGTTATAACCCCTGTCAGGTTTTTTGCCCTTTGTGTCCCATCGGGGAGATTTCCCTTCACTTGTCCCATAGTTAAAACAGGAGGTTGGAGGAAATCTCTTCAAAGTGAGGCAATCCCTGGTTGTCCCCATTGGAAGATTTCCCCTCCATTACTGTTCTAGGGACAACCCAAAATTAGGGATTTTCTTTTACTTTTGGTAATAATGGTGAACACAGACAGCATTAAAAACCTGACAGGGGGTCTTATCCATCTCCACTCTATTCCATGTATTCCCCATTTCAGAGAATCATACTGAGAAAATCCTGCCAGTTGGCAGCTCCTGGAAAACTTTCCGAGAACCTTCAGTATCTTGATGGATGCCTTGGAATGCTCCATGGGGCAGCTTTCATAGTTGGGTACTCTGTTTGTCCACATGAGAAAGAGATCCTGTGGCTTGGGTGTTGGTCAGCAGAACTTCTCTGCAGAAAGCAAATTGACAGGCTGCCCTTCTGAGGGCAAACACTTGTTTGGACCATCCCTTGATGCCTACATCCAGAAGATGATCGTGGGGAAAACCATTAAAGAGGGTGACTTCTTGGAATTCGAAGATGCCACTGCTTTCTCTTGTAAGCAGTCAGCTTTGGGCTTTAAGCCAAAACCTACATTCAAGCTCCGTAAGAGGAACTGGACCCTTTTAGATACTGGTTCTGGAAGCAAATCCTCAGTGAAGGATTGCTCACACAGTGTGAGAGGACGCCTGTTGGCTGACGCAGCTGCCTGGACTCAGGAAGTCTCAGATGAATGGGTCTGAAATGTGGTATGCAGAGGCTACAAGCTGGAGATCCACTGTTTTCTCCCACCACACATTTATGCACAGGGGCTGAGAAAGATGGTAGCTGCCTTTTGATGCAGTCCTCTATGTCCAGTTCCAGTCCAGAGCTCCACAGCTCAATCTCCCGTCAGTATGAGACAAGTGTCTGGAGTCCTTGAATCTGCAAATGCATCTGACTCCCAGGACCAGGTCAGCTCTGAAATGGTGGATATCAATGCAGATGCTGGATACAAGGAAATCCTTCCTTCCAATGAATTTAAATGTCTTGATGGATCCCATCATGTTCATTCTGGAGAACTTGGGTCAGGGTATATGGTCGTTAGAAAACAAGTTGCCAGTCAACATCTTGGAACTTCGGGCTTTGGCTGGCTTTCCTCTTCTGGTTTGTCTCCCTGTCGGGTCGCGATCAGACAATGCCACAGCTCAGGTATATATCAAGCATTAAGACGAAACAAGGATGTGTGCTGCTCAGCAGAAAGTGGACTTGGTGTTGTAGGCAGAACTCCACACTCCAGCCCCCTCCACTGTGCACATTCCCGGCACAGAAAATTGTCAAGTGGGTTTTTTTTAGCTGTCAGCAGCTGAATCCAGGAGAATGGGCTCTTCACCCAAGGCTGTTCACAGAGATTTGTCTGCATTGGGGGCTACCAAATGTGACCAGAACCAGGGTTACTCAGGTGTTTTTCAGTAGGTCTCCTGGTGGGATCCGTTTTCCCTGATGTATGCCTTCCCTCCACTTCCACATCTACCTCTTATGCAGGATAACGGTGAAGGGCATTCCAGTGCATTTGATGGCAGAGTGGTGTGCCGACATTTTGGTCTCTTGTCAGACTAGCTGTGGCTCTTCAAGATCAGCCAGATTATCCTGCTTTACGTTCGCTGGCTTTGACAACATGGCTGTTGCATTCTAAGTTCTGATGTATGGGGTTGTTTCTGATTCTGAGATTTCTATCCTCCTCACGACTAGAAAGTGGACCTCCAGGACAGTGTACCATCGTACGTGGAATGCTTATTTCACCTTGTGTTTCATTCCCAACAGTATGTTGTGGGGCACATTTTGGCGTTTCTCCAGCCTGATGTGGAAATGTCTCCGGTTTTGAGTACCTTCAAGTGACAGATCTTGTCTGGCTGTGCTGTTTTGGAAACCCATTGCACTCGATTCCTTCATCAAAGCCTTTGCACAGGTCTTCTCTGTTTTGCAGTCTTCTACTTTTTGAACTTCTCTGTGAGATGTCGCTTCCACTGTGCAAGGCTTTCTTTTGGTGGCCATTGCATCATCTCCCAGGGTCTCAAAGTTGGCTGTGCTCTACCTGCAAGGAACCCTTACTGGTTCTTCACCAAGATAAAGGGATATTGAGCCCTCAGTCCTCTTTCCTACCTGAGGTGGTTTCTTTATTCAGCCTGGATCAGGACATTGTCTGACATCCTTTTTGTTCTAATCCTGAGCATCCGAAGAGGAAGGTGGTTCAATATTTGAAGTTGGCTGAGTTTATCTGATCTTACAGCTTTGGTTTGACAGTCTGATTCCATGTTTGTTCTGTAAGGGTCGGGCTACTTCTCACACTTCTGTCTTTGTGGATTTGTCCGCTCATTCCCCAGGCCTGTGATGTTCTTCTCTTCCGGTCTATGGCCATTCCACCAGGAGGGTCAATGCTTCCTGGTCTATTCAACTTCATGATTCTGTTTGTTCAAGTTTCTACTCAACCTTGTCTTCACATATCTACTACCCGGCCTCCTCTTCACATATCTACTACCCGGCCTCCTCTTCACATATCTACTACCCGGCCCCGGCCTCCTCTTCACATATCTACTACGCGGCCTCCTCTTCACATATCTACTACGCGGCCTCCTCTTCACATATCTACTACCCGGCCTCCTCTTCACATATCTACTACCCGGCCTCCTCTTCACATATCTACCTGCTACCCACCCTGCTCTTCACACATCCCACCCTCGGCCTTCTCTTCACACACCTACCACCCTGCCTTCTCTTCACACACCTACCACCCTGCCTTCTCTTCACACACCTTCTCTTCACCACCCCCTTCTCCCACCCCCCCCCCCCTTCTCTTCACACACCTTCCACCCGGCCTTCTCCACCCCACCCCCCTTCTCTTCACACACCTTCCACCCGGCCTTCTCTTCACACACCTTCCACCCGGCCTTCTCTTCACACCCCCCCCCACCCCCCCCCCCCCCCCCACCCCCACCCCCCCTTCACCCCCCCCCCCCTGCTCTTCCACACCTACCCCCGGCCTTCTCTTCACACACCTACCCCCCCCCCCCCTTCCCCACCCCCCCCCCCCCCGGCCTTCTCCCCCCCCACCCACACCCCCCCCGGCCCCCCCCCTCCACCACCCCACCCACCCCCCCCTTCTCTTCACACCCCCCTACCCCCCCCCCCCCTTCTTCCCCCCCCCCTTCCACCCCCTTCTCTTCCCACACCTTCCACCCGGCCCCCCCTTCCCCCCCTTCCCCCCCTTCCCCTTCACACCCCACCCCCCCCGGCCCCCCACACCCCCCCCCCCCCCCCTTCCCCCCCCCCCCCCCCCCCCCCCCCCACCCCCTTCCCCCCCCCCCCCTCCCCACACACCTTCCACCCCCCCCCTCTCCCCACCCCCCCTCCCCCCCCCCCCCCCCCCCCACCCAACCCCTTCCCACACCCCCCCCCCCCCCCCCCCTCCCCACCCCCTTCCCCCCCCCCCCTCACACCCCCCTTCCCCCCCCCCCCCCCTTCACCCCCCCCACCCCCCCCCCCCCCCCCCCCCCCCCCCACCCCCCCCCCCCTTCCTTCACCACCTTCCACCCGGCCTTCCCCCCCCCCCCCACCCCCCCCCCCCCCCCCCCCCCTGCCCTTCACCCCACCCCCCCCCCCCGGCCCCCACCCCCCCCCCCCCCCCCCCCCCCCCCCCCCCCCCCCCCCCCCCCCCCCCCCCCCCCACCCCCCCTCTTCCCCCCCCCCCCCCCCCCCCCCCCCCCCCCCCCCCCCCCCCCCCCACCCCCCCCACCCCCCCCCCCCACCTTCCCCACCCCACCCCCTGCACCTTCACACACCTTCCACCCGGCCTGCTCTTCACACACCCCCCCCCCCCCCCTGCTCTTCACACACCTTCCCCCCTTCACACCCCCCGGCCCTCTTCACACACCTTCCACCCGGCCTGCTCTTCACACACCCCCCCACCCCGGCCTCACCCCCCCTTCCACCCACCCTTCCCCCACCCCTGCTCTTCACACACCTTCCCCCCGGCCTGCTCTTCACACACCTTCCACCCCCTGCTCTTCACACACCTTCCCCCCCCTTCTCTTCCCCCACACCTTCCCCCGGCCTTCTCTTCACCACCACCCACCCCCTTCTCCCCACACACCTTCCACCCGCCCCTTCTCTTCACATACCTTCCACCCAACCTGCTCTTCACACACCTTCCACCCGGCCTGCTCTTCACACATCTACCAACCAACCTGCTCTTCACACATCTACTACCCAGGAGATGTTTATGCCTCTGTAGATGCCAGTCTGGGTGGAAGGTGTTGCAGGCTGCTTTGCAGTAATATTTCCCCCTGTTCTGTTACAGGGTTGTTGGTGTGTTGCCTATCTCTTATTGTCATTGGTTTAGGACATCCCAGTAGAAATTAGGATTTCTGGTAAAATCCTTTTCTTGGAGGACAGCCCAGGACACAAAGATCCCGGATTGTGTTCTCGTTGCTACAAAACTGTTGTTTGGCTGAGCTGGAGGAGTTCTACCTGGGTGGGGATTCTGCCTTTATTGGCCAGTGTCTTTTCTCCTGAAGGTGGCAGCATAACCCAGTTATGGATAGGATGTCCACTGTGTCCTGTGATGTCCTCCAAGAAATGGATTCCAGGAGGAAACAGTCCTATTTCTTTCCAGTTACCTTCTCAAACCAGATTGTTCTTGCAGGTGCTGTCAGGTTAGACTCGTGTACATAGTCTCTTCTGTGTGTAGAGTGCAGTCCCCTTCTATGGATCCCCTTTGTCTCCATTTCTAGCCATCAAGAAGCCGCGGGTCAGGTTCAGTAACCTAATGGAGGTGAGACAGCTCCCATCCAGCCAGGCTCTGGAGGCCAAATTATCCCGCATGGCCAACCCCCCACTCCGGGATAGCGAGTCCAGCCTGAGGACGAGCGGGAGATTCTCCATCTGTCAGGTGGCCAAGATCAGCTTCTTCTTCTGCTTTGTGGTAAGACCCCCCAATGGCAGGTGATCACCCCAAACTGGAATATTGTTATAGAAGTCAGAAGTAAATATTCCTGACATCATAGATCTGCTTTCTGGGAATGACACCCTCACGGACCCCCATATTCCACACTGGACCTGTATATACAGATCACCTGTACTGTGTACTAGAGCTTGTACATGTTGATGTCCCATACAGTGTCAGCGGCACTGAGGTTACGGAGTGCCGGGGGTGGGATGGAGTGCCGGGGGTGGGATGGAGTGCCATACTTCATACATGGGGTCCATCTGTTGTCCGCAGTCAGATGCTCAGGATGGGCTCTATCATTACATAGGAAACATCCCGAGAATTTATAGCTCCTCTATAGAGGGATATTGTGTGTATTACACAGTACAGAGCTCCTATATAGGGGGATATTGTGTGTGTGGGGGGGCCCCCCTGCCCCCATCCCCCCTCAACCATCTCCTCATTCTCTCCTCTCCATCTTCTAGTGGTTCCTGGCCAATTATTCCTACCAGGAGGCGCTCTCTGATACCCAGGTGGCCATCGTCAACATCATCTCCTCCACATCAGGTCAGTTCATATCTCCCTACAACCAGATCTGATATCTGTCCCAACACAGACTGTCTGTCAGCCAATGACTGTCCGGGAAGGGGGACTGACTGGGGGGGGGGGGGACTGACTGGGGGGGGGGACTCACTGGGGGGGGGGGGACTGTCCAGACCCCAGACATGTAATGCTAATGTTAGAATACAAATGGCCCCCCTCCCCCACCCCATTAGACGGTCGGTTGATGTTGGTACCCGCCGACTCCTCACGAAAATGATCCAAAGATGCTGGAGGTAGATGTCCGAGACGGCATTGTAGATGTCAGAGATTGTCTCGTCTCCCTCCAGGTCTGTTCACATTGATCCTGGCGTCTGTCTTTCCCAGCAACAGCGGAGATCGCTTCACTCTCTCCAAATTATTGGCGGTTGTTCTGAGGTAAGAACTCCCTCCGTGTTCCTCCTCCTCCTTCTCCATCCGTGTTCCTCCTCCTTCATCCGTGTTCCTCCTCCTCCTTCTCCCTCCGTGTTCCTCCTCCTCCTTCTCCCTCCGTGTTCCTCCTCCTCCTTCTCCCTCCATGTTCCTTCTCCTCCTCCTTCTCCCTCCGTGTTCCTCCTTCTCCATCCGTGTTCCTCCTCCTTCTCCATCCGTGTTCCTCCTCCTCCTTCTCCCTCTGTGTTCCTCCTCCTCCTTCTCCCTCCTGTGTTCCTCCTCCTGCTCCCTCTGTGTTTCCTCCTCCTGCTCCCTCTGTGTTCCTCCATCTGATGGTCTATGCTCCCTCTCTGTACGGTACACTCTTCTGTCCTCCTCCCTCTGTGTTCCTCTTCCCCTCCCTCTGTGTTCCTCCTCCTCCCTCTGTGTTCCTCTTCCTCCTCCCTCTGTGTTCCTCCATCTGATGGTCTATGCTCTCTCTGTGTTCCTCCTCCTCCTCCTCTTCCTCCTCCTGCTCCCTCTGTGTTCCTCCTCCCTTTGTGTTCCTCCTCCTCCTTCCTCTGTGTTCCTTCATCTGATGGTCTATGCTCACTCTTTGTTCCTCCTCCTCCTTCTTCTCCCACCGTGATCCTCCTCCCTCCCGCTCCCTCTGTGTTCTGTTTCCTCCACCTCCTGCTCCCTCTGTGTTCCTCCTCCTCCTGCTTCCTCTGTGTTCCTCCTCCTCCTCCTCCTCCTTCTCCCTCCGTGTTCCTCCTCCTCCTCCTTCTCCCTCCGTGTTCCTCCTCCTCCTTCTCCCTCTGTGTTCCTCCTCCTCCTCCTTCTCCCCTCTGTGTTCCTCCTCCTCCTCCTTCTCCCTTTGTGTTCCTCCTCCTCCTCCTTCTCCCTTTGTTTCCTCCTCCCTCCTTCTCCCTTTGTGTTCCTCCTCCTCCTCCTCCTTCTTCCCTTCGTTTTCTCCTCCTCCTCCTCCCTCCCGTTTCCTCCTCCTCCTCCCTCCGTGTTCCTCCTTCTCCTTCTCTCCCTCCGTGTTCCTCCTCCTCCTTCTCCCTCCGTGTTCTCCTCCTCCCTCTTTTCCTCCTCCTCCTCCTCCCTCTGTGTTCCTCCATCTGATGGTCTATGCTCCCTCTCTGTACAGTACACTCTTCTGTCCTCCTCCCCGTTTCCTCCTCCTCCTCCCCCTTTTTCCTCCCCCTCCTCCTCCTCCCTCCTTTTCCTCTTCCTCCTCCTTCCGTGTTCTCCCTCCTCCTCCTCCCTTTTTCCCCTCCCTCGTTTTTCCTCTTCTCCCTCTCTTTTCCTTCATCTGATGGTCTTTGCTCACTCTTTGTTCCTCCTCCTCCTTCTTCTCCCACCGTGATCCTCCTCCTCCTCCCGCTCCCTCTGTGTTCCTCAACCTCCTGCTCCCTCTTGTTGTTCCTCCTCTTCCTCCTCTCTTCCTCCTTTTCCTTCCTCCCTCTGTTTCCTCTCCTCTCCCTCTTTTTTCTCTCCCCTTTTTTCCTCTCTTTTTCTGTTTTTTCTTCCATTTTTCTTTGGTCTATTCCTCCCTCTTTTTCTGTTCCTCTTCCTCCTGCTCCCTTTCTTTCCTCCTCCTTCTTTTTTCTCGTGTTCCTCCTCCTCCTCCTTCCTCCTCTCCGTGTTCCTCCTGTTCCTCCTCCTTCTCCCTCCGTGTTCCCTCCGTTCCTTTTCTCCTCTTCCTCCTCCTTTCTCCCTCCGTTCTTCCTCCTCCTCCTCCTTCTCCCTTGTTTCCTCCTCCTTCTCCCTCTGTTTTCCTCCTCTTCCTCCTTCTCCCTCCGTGTTCCTCCTCCCCCTCCTTCTCCCTCCGTGTTCCTCCTCCTTCTCCCTCCGTTTTCCTCCTTTTCCTCCCTCCGTGTTCCTCCTCCTTCCTCCTCCCTCTGTTTTTTTCCTCCATCTGATGATCTATGCTCCCTCTCTGTACGGTACATCTCTCTTCTATCCTCCTCCGTGTTCCTCCTCCTCCTCCTGCTCCCTCTTGTTCCTCCTCCTCTTCCTCCCTCCTCCTCCCTCTGTTTTCCTCCTTCTGTGTTCCTCTTCCTCCTCCCTCTGTTTTCCTCCATCTGATGGTCTATGCTCCCTCTTCTGTCCTCCTCCCTCCGTGTTCCTCCTCCTCCTCCTCCTCCTCTCCGTGTTCCTCCTCCTCCTCCTCCCTCCGTGTTCCTCCTCCTTCTCCCTCTGTGTTCCTTCATCTGATGGTCTATGCTCACTCTTTGTTCCTCCTCCTCCTTCTTCTCCCACCGTGATCCTCCTCCTCCCGCTCCCTCTGTGTTCCTCAACCTCCTGCTCCCTCTGTTTCCTCCTCCTCCTCTTCTTTTTCTCCTCCTTTTCTCCTCCTCCTCCCTCCTTCTCCCTCTGTGTTCTCCTCCTCCTCTCTTTCCCTCTTTGTTCTCTCCTCCTCCTCCTTCTCTCCCTCCTTCGTTTTTTTCCTCCTCCTTTTCCTCTCCCTCCCTTCGTGTTCCTCCTCCTCTCCTCTCCCTCCTCGTTTTCCTCTCTGTTCCTCCTCCTCCCTCCTTGTTCCTCCTCCTCCTCTCTTCTTTTCCTCTCCTGTTCTTTCTCCTCTTCCCTCCTCCTTCCTCTCTTCCTCCTCCTCTGTTTCCTGCTCCTCCCTCTTCCTCCTCCCTCTGTTCCCTCCTCCTTTCTTTTCCTCCTCCTCCCTCTGTTTTCTTCCCTCTGTGTTCCTTTCTCCCTTGTTCCTCTTCCTCCTCCCTCTCTTCTTCTTCCTCCTCCCTCTTGTTCTCCTCCCTCCTTCTGTCCTCCTCCCTCCGTGTTCCTCCTCCCCCTCCTTCCTCCCTCCGTGTTCCTCTCCTCCTCCCTCTGTGTTCCTCCTCCTCCTCCTCCTCCCTCTGTTTTTTCCATCTGATGATCTATGCTCCCTCTCTGTACGGTACACTCTTCTATCCTCCTCCCTCTGTTTTTCCTCCTCCTCCCTCTGTGTTCCTCTTCCTCCTCCCTCTGTGTTTCCTCCTCCTCCTCCCTCTGTGTTCCTCCTCCTCCTCCCTCTGTGTTCCTCCATCTGATGGTCTATGCTCCCTCTTCTGTCCTCCTCCTCCCTCTGTGTTCCTCTTCCTCCTCCCTCTGTGTTCCTCTTCCTCCTCCCTCTGTGTTCCTCTTCCTCCTCCCTCTGTGTTCCTCTTCCTCCTCCCTCTGTGTTCCTCTTCCTCCTCCCTCTGTGTTCCTCTTCCTCCTCCCTCTGTGTTCCTCCTCCTCCTCCCTCTGTGTTCCTCCATCTGATGGTCTATGCTCCCTCTTCTGTCCTCCTCCCTCTGTGTTCCTCCTCCTCATCTTCTCCTGAAGCTCTGTGGCCTCCTTCATGGTTGGCCTGTGCCATGTGTTCTCTCCTCTTCATGCATTGAGGGGGATTTCCTAAACCTGGAGCACTCGGAATCTGGTGCAGCCGTGCCTGGCAGCCAATCGGCTTCTACCTTCAGCTTGTTCAGTGAAGCTTTGACAAAGCCTGGAAGCTGATTGGCCACCAAGCAGATCTGCACCGGATTCTGCACCCTCCAGTGTTAGTAAATCTCCGACATGATGTTCTCTCTGATGGTCGGTGTCATGTTCTCTTCTCATGGAGCTCTGCGGCCTCCTGGCGATCTACCTCATGGTGGAATCCATTGAAGTGTGGGCAGTAAAGTGTTCTCCTGTCTTTGCAGCATTGGAGGCGTGGTGCTCGTTAGCTTGTCTGGATCCGAAGCATCGAGAGATAAAGACACCATAGGTAACACCAAATTATCTACAACCCCCCCCCCCCCCCACCTATACATGTCTACACAATATTAGGACAGATCCCCCTGTACCCCTAACAGGCAAAGGGGGACTTACACATAAGAGGGATATGGGGAGCTGAGACAGGGGTCTCCCCACCTCTCCAAATTGGGCTGTGTTCCATGGGCCCCCCACCCAAACTGAGCTGTGTTCCATGGGCCCCCCACCCAAAGTCACCCCCATCACAGAGCCCCCCACCCAAAGTCACTCCCGTCACAGAGCCCCCCACCCAAAGTCACTCCCGTCACAGAGCCCCCCACCCAAAGTCACTCCCGTCACAGAGCCCCCCCACCCAAAGTCACTCCCGTCACAGAGCCCCCCACCCCAAAGTCACTCTCGTCACAGAGCCCCCCACCCAAAGTCACTCCCGTCACAGAGCCCCCCACCCAATGTCCTCCCGTCACAGAGCCCCCCACCCAAAGTCACTCCCGTCACAGAACCCCCCACCCAAAGTCACTCCCGTCACAGAGCCCCCCACCCAAAGTCACTCCCGTCACAGAGCCCCCCACCCAAAGTCACTCCCGTCACAGAGCCCCCCACCCCAAAGTCACTCCCGTCACAGAGCCCCCACCCAAAGTCACTCATCCGTCACACTCATTGTGTTCACAGTCTCCGCAGAAGATTTGTCTGTTGTGCCATTTTCACGATCGATGATCCAGGATCAGGCGGTCCACACGCTGAACGTACTCAGGAATGACTGCTGTGGGCTGGGAACCGCCACGGCTGGGATAGTCACTGAGGGGCGGTACGGCCATCTTGGAAATGCTTCCACCATTCAAATGTCTTCCTGCAGCTCAGTGCCTCATCGCCGTTCTGCGCTTTACGACTTCTGTAATATGGGCGGGTTTTGCACCTTCGTTCACAAGAAACGTCCTCACCACACGCTGCTCCACACATGCACTGACACTGCTGTCTGCCATCTTGATGAACGGTCTTTGGACTGGCCCGTGACATGTGCGCCCCCTATCGGTAATAGGACACAACTGCCACTTACTACTACACCGCCATCCCTTCTTATACCTGAAAAAGGAAAAGTTCCGCTTTCACTTGAACCCGTGTATGTATGTGTGTATGTATGTATGTATGCGTGTGTGTATGTATGCATGTATGTGTGTAGGTATGTATATTTTACATAGTACACACTCAATAATAAGCCAACATGTAATACACACAGACATGTACATAGTAGACAGCAACGTTAATAGTTCAAATGGGTGTAGATGTCACCAGAGGCAGGGGTGGGATCAGATGGGTGTAGGTGTCACCAGAGTCAGGGGTGGGATCAGATGGGTGTAGGTGTCACCAGAGTCAGGGGTGGGATCAGATGGGTGTAGGTGTCGTCACCAGAGGCAGGGGTGGGATCGGGAGGGTGTGGGTGTCGCCAGAGGCAGGGGTGGGATCGGGAGGGTGTGGGCGTCACCAGAGGCAGGGGTGGGATCAGGAGGGTGTAGGCGTCACCAGAGGCAGGGGTGGGATCAGATGGGTGTAGGCGTCACCAGAGGCAGGGGTGGGATCAGATGGGTGTAGGCGTCACCAGAGGCAGGGTTGGGATCAGATGGGTGTAGATGTCACCAGAGGCAGGGGTGGGATCGGGAGGGTGTGGGCGTCGCCAGAGGCAGGGGTGGGATCGGGAGGGTGTGGGCGTCGCCAGAGGCAGGGTTGGGATCGGGAGGGTGTGGGCGTCGCCAGAGGCAGGGTTGGGATCGGGAGGGTGTGGGCGTCGCCAGAGGCAGGGGTGGGATCGGGAGGGGTGTGGGCGTCGCCAGAGGCAGGGGGTGGGATCGGGAGGGTGTGGGCGTCGCCAGAGGCAGGGGTGGGATCGGGAGGGTGTGGGCGTCGCCAGAGGCAGGGGCGGGATCGGGAGGGTGTGGGCGTCGCCAGAGGCAGGGGCGGGATCGGGATGTTGGGTGTGGGCGTCGCCAGAGGCAGGGGCGGGATCGGGAGGGTGTAGGCGTCGCCAGAGGCAGGGCGGGATCGGGAGGGTGTAGGCGTCACCAGAGGCAGGGGCGGGATCGGGAGGGTGTAGGCGTCGCCAGAGGCAGGAGTATGAGCAGATGGGTGTGGGTGTCATGAGAGGCAGGGGTGGGATCAGGAGGCTGTTGGTGTCACCAGAGGCAGGAGTATGAGCAGATGGGTGTAGGTGTCACCAGAGGCAGGGGTGGGATCAGGAGGGTGTAGGTGTCGCCAGAGGCAGGGGTGGGATCAGGAGGGTATAGGTGTCACCAGAGGCAGGGGTGGGATCGGGAGGATGTAGGTGTCGCCAGAGGCAGGAGTATGAGCAGATGGGTGTAGGTGTCACCAGAGGCAGGGGTGGGATCAGGAGGGTGTAGGTGTCGCCAGAGGCAGGGGTGGGAGGATCAGGAGGGGGTGTAGGTGTCACCAGAGGCAGGGGTGGGATCGGGAGGGTGTGGGTGTCACCAGAGGCAGGGGTGGGATCAGGAGGGTGTGGGCGTCCCCAGAGGCAGGGTGTGGGTGATCGCCAGAGGCAGATCGAGGGGTGTGGGTGTCGAGAGGCAGGGGGGGATCGGGAGGCTGTGTGGTGTCGCCAGAGGCAGGAGGCGGGATCGGGAGGGGTGTAGGGCGTCGCCAGAGGCAGGGGTGGGATCGGGAGGGTGTAGGCGTCGCCAGAGGCATTGGTGGGCGTATGAGCGGGATCAGGAGGGTGTAGGTGTCACCAGAGGCAGGGGCGGGATCAGGGGCGGGGGAGGGTGTAGGCGTCGCCAGAGGCAGGGGCGGGAGGCGATCGGGAGGGTGTAGGCGTCGCTAGAGGCAGGAGTATGAGCAGATGGGTGTGGGTGTCATGAGAGGCAGGGGTGGGATCAGGAGGCTGTTGGTGTCACCAGAGGCAGGAGTATGAGCAGATGGGTGTAGGTGTCACCAGAGGCAGGGGTGGGATCAGGAGGGTGTAGGTGTCGCCAGAGGCAGGGGTGGGATCAGGAGGGTGTAGGTGTCACCAGAGGCAGGAGTATGAGCAGATGGGTGTAGGTGTCACCAGAGGCAGGGGTGGGATCAGGAGGGTGTAGGTGTCTGCCAGAGGCAGGAGTATGAGCAGATGGGTGTAGGTCACCAGAGGCATCTGGTGGGGTCCACAACTGGGATCAGGAGGGTGTAGGTGTCACCAGAGGCAGGGGTGGGATCAGGAGGGTGCCCCCTTGGGCGTCCCAGAGGCAGGAGTATGAGCAGATGGGTGTGGGTGTCATGAGAGGCAGGGGTGGGATCAGTCCGGGAGGGTGTCAGGGCGTCGCCAGAGGCAGGAGTATGAGCAGATAATGGGTGTAGGTGTCACCAGAGTCAGACACAGGGGTGGGATCAGGAGGGTGTGGGCGCCACCAGAGGACACACCACCAAGCAGTTGATATTGGTGCTCCACCCCTCAGGGGTGACCCCTTCTGCAGTGAGAATTCATTGGCTCCTGGTGGTCCTGGTAACGGGGGTAGTCCCACATTCTCAGCCCACGTGGCCTACTCTCTGAGAGATGAGATGCCCCTGCCTGGGGGCGGTTTTGCAATGGCTCTGACCTAGGGGGCGCTGTGAGGTAACCTTTACCAGTATACTCCGGTTTGGAAGGTGTCACAGTGCAGAGCTCAGGGCCCATAGGACAGGTTCTAGGCTTGCCCCCCCGCAGTGCCCCATCTGGTGGGGTCCACAACTGCAATCATTAAATGCCGTCCACTTCATCGCAACACGCAGAATAATGAGTGAAGCAGTGGTTTCGCTCTGAATCCACCAGATTGAGGGACACAGGAAGTCAGACACAGTCCGGTTATACTGCCCCCTGCAGGAGAATGCAGACACAGTCTGGTTATACTGCCCCCTACAGGAAGTCAGACACAGTCCGGTTATACTGCCCCCTGCAGGAAGTCAGATACAGTCCGGTTATACTGCCCCCTGCAGGAAGTCAGATACAGTCCGGTTATACTGCCCCCTGCAGGAGGTCAGACACAGTCCGGTTATACTGCCCCCTACAGGAAGTCAGACACAGTCCGGTTATACTGCCCCCTACAGGGAAGTCAGACACAGTCCGGTTATACTGCCCCCTACAGGAGGTCAGACACAGTCCGGTTATACTGCCCCCTGCAGGAGGTCAGACACAGTCCGTTATACACAGTCAGACACAGTCCGGTTATACTGCCCCCTACAGGAAGTCAGACACAGTCCGGTTATACTGCCCCCTACAGGAGAATAGACACAGTCCGGTTATACTGCCCCCCCCTACAGGAAGTCAGACACAGTCCAGGGTTATACTGCCCCCTAGAGGAGAATAGACACAGTCTGGTTATACTGCCCCCTGCCCCCTACAGGAAGTCAGACACAGTCCGGTTATACTGCAGGAAGTCAGACACAGTCCCCCCTGCAGGAAGTCAGACACAGTCCAGTTATACTGCCCCCTGCAGGAAGTCAGATACAGTCCGGTTATACTGCCCCTGCAGGAAGTCAGACACAGTCCAGTTATACTGCCCCCTGCAGGAAGTCAGATACAGTCCGGTTATACTGCCCCCTGCAGGAAGTCAGACACAGTCCGGTTATACTGCCCCCTACAGGAGAATAGACACAGTCTGGTTATACTGCCCCCTACACAGGGAAGTCAGACACAGTCCGGTTATACTGCCCCCTACAGGAGAATAGACACAGTCTGGTTATACTGCCCCCTGCAGGAAGTCAGACACAGTCCAGTTATACTGCCCCCTGCAGGAAGTCAGATACAGTCCGGTTATACTGCCCCTGCAGGAAGTCAGACACAGTCCAGTTATACTGCCCCCTGCAGGAAGTCAGATACAGTCCGGTTATATACTGCCGCCTGCAGGAGGATTAGATATTGGCTGATGCTGTTTGTATGATTCCTCGCTCCATCGCTGCCTGAGCTGATCTTCGCATCGCAGTGACACAAATCTGCATTTCCTATCCTGTTATCTATATCCAGGCCAGACTGAAGGTGTCAGGCTATCCTGGAGGGTGAGCTGCCATGAGCTTTCCAGGGTGAGAGCCGCAGCACACCCCTCAGTGACACCGTGTCT